AATATCTGTATCTTTCTCTGCTCTTCTCTTTTAATTAGTAGCTTTTGTGTTCGTTCTTAGTAGAAATTTTGAGTTTTTTTGTTTTTTCCTTCTGCTCTGGAAATAAGAAAAAACTTTTTCTTGTTCTTCTAATATAATATATGTAGTTTCTAGTTATTTTTCCTTTTGATTAGTCCTTCTAATACTGTTTCTTAGTCTAGATTTTGACTTATTTCTGTTTTTTATTTAGCTCTAGAAGTAGTTAAAATGATCTACAGAAAGAGTTTTTTTTGTGAACTCTTTTTATGTTTTTTTAGTTTTTAAATTTTTTAAAATTAAAGTTTAAATAAAATATTAGTTTTTATTAGTTAAAGCTTAAATATATTATTAGTTAATAAATTTAGATTAAGTTTAAATTAAAAAAATATTAGTTATTAAATATTTATAATAATTTTTTTAGTTTTAAAATTATAAAAATTAAGTATATACTTTCACTATAGCTGTCGTCTCCGCTTCAGTATTTTTACTAAAACCTATTATACCCTAACCCTAAACCTAACTCTAACCCTAATCCTAACTCTAACTCTAACTCTAATTCTAACCCTAATCCTAACTCTAACCCTAACTCTAACTCTAACTCTAATCCTAACCTTAACCCTAATCCTAACTCTAACTCTAACTCCTAATTCTAAATTTAATTCTCTAATCCTAATCTTAAAAATTTAATTTTTTTATTTTTTATTTTTTTTTTATTTTTTAAAATTTTAAAATTTAATTTTTTTTTAAAAAAGTTTTAAAATTTAATTTTATAATTTTTTTAATTTTTTTAATTTTTTTTTTATTTTTTAAAATTTTAAAATTTAATTTTTTTTAAAAAAGTTTTAAAATTTAATTTTTTAATTTTTTTAATTTTTTAATTGTTTTTTTTATTTTTTAAAATTTTAAAATTTAATTTTTTTTAATTTTTTAATTTAATTTTTTTTAATTTTTTAATTTAATTTTTTTTAAAATCAATTTTTTAATTTTTTTAATTTTTTAATTTTTTTTTCATTTTTTAAAATTTTAAAATTTAATTTTTTTTAAAATTAATTTTTTAATTTTTTTAATTTTTTAATTTAATTTTTTTTAAAATTAATTTTTTAATTTTTTTAATTTTTTAATTTTTTAATTTTTTTTAAAATTTTAAAAAATTTAATTTTAATTTTTTTTTATTTTTTAAAAAATTTAATTTTAATTTTAATTTTTTTTATTTTTAAAATTTTAAAATTTTTAATTTTTTTTAATTTTTTTTATTTTTTTTATTTTTTAAATTTTAAAATTTAAAATTTAATTTTTAATTTTTTTAATTTTTTTAATTTTTATTTTTTAAATTTTAAAATTTAAAATTTAATTTTTAATTTTTTTAATTTTCTAATTTTTTTATTTTTTTATTTTTTAAAATTTTAAAATTTAATTTTCCCTTTTAGATATTCTTCAACTTCTTTGCGTTTAAATTTTTTTATTTTTTTTTTATTTTAAAATTTAATTTTAATTTTTATTTTTTTTTATTTTTTAAAATTTTAAAATTTAATTTTTTATTTTTTTTATTTTTAAAATTTTAAAATTTAATTTTAATTTTTATTTTTTTAATTTTTTTATTTTTTATTTTTTTTTATTTTTAAAATTTAAAATTTAATTTTTAATTTTTTAATTTTTTAAAATTTTAAAATTTAATTTTTTTATTTTTTTATTTTTTTTATTTTTTAAAATTTTAAAATTTAATTTTTATTTTTTTAATTTTTTTTTATTTTTTAAAATTTTAAAATTTAATTTTTATTTTTTTAATTTTTTATTTTTTAAAATTTTAAAATTTAATTTTTTAATTTTTTAATTTTTTTTTATTTTTTAAAATTTTTAAAATTTAATTTTTATTTTTTTAATTTTTTATTTTTTTTTTTATTTTTAATTTTTTAATTTTTTAATTTTTTTTTATTTTTTAAAATTTTTAAAATTTAATCTTCTAATTTTTTAATTTTTTTTATTTTTTTAGTTTTTTAATTTTTTTTATTTTTTAAATTTTAAAATTTAATTTTTATATTTTTATTTTTTTAAAATTTTTTACTTAAATTTTTTTATTTTAATTTTTTAAATTAAATATATTTGAACCTGAATTAGGTTCATTGAACCTGAATTAGGTTCATTTAAATCTGGATTGAGTTTATCAAACCCAAATTAGGTTCATTTGAATCTGGATTAGGTTTGTTGAACTCAAATTAGATTTATTTTAATCTGAATTAGGTTCGTTGAACTCGAATTAGGTTCATTTGAACCTGATTAGGTTTATTGAACCTGAATTAGTTTCATTTGAACCTGAATTAGGTTCGTTGAACCTGAATTGAGTTTATTGAACCTGAATTTGGTTCGTTAAACTTGAATTAGGTTCGTTGAACCTAAAATTAGATTTTGGTAGTTCAAATATTTCAGAGTGTGATCGATAATTATGTGATGAATAGGAATTAGTTATATATCTTACATAGTAATTTCTTATTCGTTACATATATAATTGGTCACACCCAAATCGCGTATTAGTTTTTTTCTTAATAGTGATGATGTGATGAATTATTATATAACAAATAAACATTTATTAATTTGATTAATTAGTAAATATTTATTTGTCACTTAATAATTCATCACCTTATGCGTGACTAACATTCATGCTTTATAGCAGTTGAGGGTGTGACCAATTATCTATGTGACAAATAAATATTTTCTATATGATATTTATATTATATACTTATTCGTTACATAATAATCTGTCACTTCTGGAACCCGAATTCTAGTTCACTTGAATCCAAAATCTGGTTTACTTGAACTTGAAATCAGGTTGCTTGAACCTGAAATTGGGTCTATTTGAAACCGACTTCGGGATTCTTTGTCATGTTTTTTTTTTAGACTGAGTAGATGAGGGAAGTAGTGAGCAAAGTTAACTATTATTAAGGGTGGGTGAGTGGGAGAGATAGTGAGCAAAATTAAGACTATTATTAAGAGTGAAAAAAAAATTTTTTCTCACATAAATTTAGTGATGTAGAATTTTCTCACATAAATTTAGTAACGTAAAATCATGCTTTATTTATATAGATTAAGTATAGTAGATATAATTTAAGCAGAAGAAATAACTTAGAATGCATAGTTAGCAAACCTATAAACAAGTAATACCAAGTAATAAACGATGTGATCCAAAAAAAAGAAAATTCTGCAAAGTTAAGAAATCTACTATCTATATATACTAAAATTATTGAGCAATACTCAAAAGAAGAGCTAAATAATTAATATATGGCTTATATAAGAATATCTAGTTTAAAAAAAATAATAATTCAGAGAATACTGAAGAGAAAAGATATTCAAGAAGAAATCAGTTCAATAGTTAAGAAGTTAAAAGGCAAAAAGGAGTTAAACATATATACAGATAGGTCATTATTTAAGAGTAATCTAGGAGATAGTATTAGCAAAAAGATATGAATAGAATGAGTAGTAGCTAGTGAAAAGAATAGTAGTCTAGATAATATTAGCTTTAGTAGTAGAATAGAAGACTAGCTTTTTTTTACTTATACAAAGTTAGGTACAATATGGATAGTGATACTAGTAGTATTGTATAGCTTAAAAGTTAATATCTTTTCTGATAGCAAAGTAGCTATTGAAAATATTCTAAAATATGAGCAATTAAGCAGTATCTATAACTTGTTTAATATTAAAAATTGAAGCTTAGTTAGACAAATAAAGAGTGCTATTAAAGAAAAGATATAGAACTTAATTTAATTAAGGTTAAGAGACATAGTAAAGATCAGTGGAATAATAAAGCAGACAAATTAGCAAAAGACAAACTAAGCTCAAATAAGATAGTAAAAGTAGAGAATATAACTACTGATAAGATAAAAGTCTTTTCTAAGTAGAAGGGCAAACTTATCAATTGCTTAATTAAATCCTTTACAAATATTGTAACAATAGTTACTTATGAAACAGAATAGGCAGAGTTAAGCAATTCAATTGATATTACAAAATCCAAAATCATAAACAATAGTGACGAAAAACTCAATTAGAAAGCAATATAGAAGGTATTAAAAAACTATTAAGGCAGGAGATGTACAAGCTTCAAAAAAAGTAAAGTATTAATTTTTAGAATAAAATATTTGAACAAGCTACTTCTAATACATGATATTTGTTACTAAAGAAAATCTAAGCTCTACTAAGGAGATACCTGTATTGCATACCTCAGAACAAAAGAGTCTTTTAGTTACTTAGCAGAGTATAAGATTTATTAAAGAATATAGATATATATCGAAGAGGTAGTTATAGAATAACTAGATTTCAAGATTTTAAAATAATAGAATATCTTAATTTTAGGCACTAGATTAAAGAAAACATTTTTCAAATCAGAATCATCTAATATCTTCAAAAAAAGAAACTCTACATTTGAAATCTTACTAACAAAGGTCTAACTAAGGAAGCTAAAAAAATCTTAGGCTCATTTCATTCTCTAAAGTAAACCAAGTAATATACTAGTTTCTGAATATCTTTTGGTCAAGCTTCTTTAAAAGGTTATAGAAATTTTGATATAAAGTTATGACTGACTAAGAAAAAGAAAAATATATTTTCCAAAAAATAAAAAGAAAGAAAATGAAGAAGCAGAAAAAAAAAGCTACTTTAAACAAGGAAAACTATATAGATACAAATTCACTTACAAAAGAAATAATAAATTAGAAAAAAGAAAAAATTCTGAAGGAGTTTAATAACCAAATTTAGAGTTAAATTGAAAGCAGTAAGCAAGAAGGTTAGTTAAAGTTCAAAAATAAATAAGGTATCTTAATACAGGCTAGTAGTAGTTTTCCATTAATTGTAATTAGATAGTATATTTATCTATATATCTAATTATAGAAGGAAAAATACTACTACAGCAGATTGCAATTTGGGAATCAAATAGTTAGCTAAATAAGTCCAAAATTGTAACAAAGAAAACAGTCTAAAAATTAGAGTAGTTTTAATTTTTTGTATTAGTCTAAATATCTATAAAATAATTCTCTTAATAAAATTAAGAGCAAAATTGCCTAAGTAAAAAAAAAAAAAAGATACTAGATATTAATAGTTTAAAAAACTGTTCTTTAAATAATATTATAGTCTCTTTCTATGATAATATAAAAAATAATATAATAGTAGTAAAACTATATATCAATAGAAAAGTTTATACTTATTTAGAAATTATCTTTGCTAACAAAGAAAATTACAAGAGTATATAATTAAAGGAGTAGATATTTTTAACAAAACATATCTTAGCTCTATTCTTATAGATAATAGAAGATCATTTCTTTCAGTTAAAATTAGAAATATTTCTCTACAAAAAAAAAATCTAGTTTTTGAAGCTATTAAAGAAGCTTTTAAAGATATGAGAAAAATCACTTTAATCAAACTACTCTTAATTAAAGGAACCTTTTACTTAACTAACTAATAGATTATTATTTTTGATACTACAAATAATCCAAACTTAGAAAAAAGAATTCCTTATTTTTATATTCTACTAAAAAACAAAATCATTACAGAATAGAAGTTAGTATTGAAAGTTTACTTTTTCTGTAATAAAGAAAGTCATATCAAAAGAGATTACAAACAATACCAAAAAGCTTTAGCACTCTGTTATCATTTTAAGGAATATTAAAGTAATAAAAATAAAAAAAAATTCTAAAACTTATCTCAAGCCTATTAGAAGAAAAAACTATATCAGTTTCTTCTTCTTCAACTTAAGAAATATATATAAATAAACATCTTAAAAACTCTTTTACAAAAGAGTAACAGAATACCTCTAGAACTAATGAAAATAATAATACTCAAGCTAGTGTATTAAAAAGAACAGAAAACATAACTCTAACTACTGAAGATACAAATATAATAGACAATACTATTTGTAATAAAGAAATAGTATAAGAAATAACTTCTCCTATAGTTATTATTAAAAACAATAATCATAAACTGCAAAAACTTGACTATTCAGAAAAAAAATATATAACTGTTACAAACAAAAAGAAAAAAGATAAAAAGAAATTATTTGCACAAAAACAAGAAGAAGCTAGAATAGCTCTTTACAAGAAAAAAACTTGTAATAAGAGCTAAAATATATAAATCTAAAATCTTACCTCAAATCAACTCTTATACTTAAAAATTCAAAGATAAAAATTAGAACTCTAAACATTAAAGGATTGAATAATTAACAGAAACAAAGAAATACTTTTACTCTTAAGTCTTACAATCTAGATATTATAATGTTTCAAGAGACAAATTTTAACAACTAAAATATACAAACTTTTTTACAACAATAATAAGCTTTTAACTCAATATAGTTAAACAAAATAGCTATATTAGTAGGCAACAAAAATATAACATTTCAAAGCTCTAAAATAGAATCAAATAGCAGAGTTATGATTACAAACTTTAGCTATAAAGATTTAACTTTTTAGCTCACAAACATCTATATATCTTCTAGTTAAAGTGAACAATTAATTTTCTTTAACAACTAGTCTTCTCAAATAAAAGATAATATGATAAATATTATTGCAAATAATTTTAATACTAATATATATTCAGAATATAATAGAATTAATGAGTTCTTATTATAGTATGATTTAACCAGAGCTTAGCTTAAAGATTTTACAAAAAACTTTATTGACTTCTCAGAGCTTGTAACTAACAAACTATTTCATACCTTCTTTTAATAAACAAGAGGAAACAGAATGATAGCAACTCATTTAGCTATATCTTTATAAACAAAAACTATGCTTACTCTATTCAAAAAACTAATACCAAATATGACAACTCTAACTACTTTCTAGTAAAATGCATGCTAAAGTTTATATCAAATACAAACAAGTTACCTTTGTAGAAATTTAATAAAAATTGCTTCTATAATAAGAGACTAAAAAAAAAATAATAAAGAAATATAAGAAAATAAAAATATGAACAATTAAAAATTATACAAAATATATATCTAATTAATTATTAAAGCTTTTAAAAAACCAGAAAGCAAAATATTAATATTTAACAAACAAATTACTCAGATAAACAAAAAACTTGCTAAAAACTCTACAAATATATTTCTTTTTGCTTAAGCAGATAATTTTAACTCCAAACTACAAGAAGAACTTACTCTTCTAGCAGAAAAATAGCAATTCTACTCTAAAACAAAATGGATAAAGCAAGAAAAAAAATTAATAAAATATTTCTTTTTGAAATATAAATCTAAAAAATCTCATAGTAAAATTAAAGATCTCTTGAATATAACTTAAAACAAGAATAGTATTCTTTCTTATATAAGATAAGAATACTCAAAAATTTATAATAAAAAGAGATTAATCTAGTTGCTATGAATGAAATTATTAAAGAAGCTTCACAAGCTACAGGATTACAGAACTCTTTGCTAATACAAGAAATCTCTTTTAAAGAAATAAAGAATATGATTAGAAGCTTTTTGAATAACAAGTTATCTAGTTCTGATAGTCTTATTTATGAGTTCTATAAGCTTATAGAAGAAGTAATTACTTCTCTACTATATAATATTTTTAATCAAGTACTACTTTCAGATCTTTTGTCTAAATCTTAATATAAAAACCTAATTATACTTATTCCAAAAAAATCTTTAGATTTGGAAAATCTAAACAATTAAAGACTAATTTCTTTAGTAAACAGTAATGCTAAAATTTTTATGAAAATTTTAGCAAACAGACTAAATACAATATACTAAGAAGTAATCTTCTCATAGCAACAAAGTTTTATAAAAAACAGATTATTATCAAATACTACAATAAATATTATAACAACTCTAAAAAGTCAATAAGATAATACTAAGCAATATTAGATACTCTTCTTAGATCAACAAAAAGCATTTGATTATATAAGT